TGTAATACCCTTTGTAATATTTTAAGCAATAAAATATATATATATATATATATGAAGCAGCAGGCCCTGCTCTGAAGAGCAAGGTCTCCGGGCATCGGATTACAGGGACATGTGAAGAGGACGCTATCACATATCCTCCTTTCCAAAGCCAACTCTGAGCACCATTTCCTAAGAGCTGCAGGACACGTGGTGTGCCACACAGGAGGGCCGAGTGAAGGCTCCCGGGAAATGGCCCCTCTCCGCAGCAGAGCAGGAAGCCAGCGCTGGACTGGGCACATGTACACGACGGAACACTACTCAGCCTTAAGAAAGGATGAAATAGCATCACTTGCAACAGCATGGATGGGCCTTGAGAACATTATGCTAACTGAATAAGTCACAAAACCATATGATTTCACTCATATGTGGGACATAAAACTGAAACTTATGACCACAAACAGCAGTGTGGTGGTTGCCAGGGGGGAGGGGGTGTGGGGAGAAGGGGTCCATCCTGATATGAGGTGACAGGAGAAGATTTGACTTTGGGTGGTGGGCCCTTAGAAATCCACACATGAAACCTATATGTTCATGTTGACCAATGTCACCCAAATAAAATTTAATTAAAAAATAAAAAGAAGAAGCAGAGTAGGAAGCCCCTCCAGTGCTGGGCACCACACTGACAGAGCACTTTCCATGTGTTACTTAATGTTTTTCCTTTTTTCTTTCCTTAGTTCACTCAGCTTTATTCTTTCAAGTACCTCACAGTAGTCCGTACACATTGTGTCACTGTTACTAAGGTTGCATTTGGAGATGATTAGAACAAGGAGACTGCCCGTGCTAGGGCCAGAGAAAACCTATTTCTTCAGACTGCCAGATATATATTCTTTGGAAGAGTTCCACTATTTTTCGGATGACAGAGCATTTAAAGATATATACTAACATGTATACTTTAAAATTTTTCTTAAAATACACTGTGGGCATAAAGAATGCTAAATACTCTGAGAGTTTTGCCTTGTCCAAGCACATCCATCCTTCTGTTCAAAATCGGTCCATTTCCTGCAGCTGGGTGCTGCCAGGAGAACGCCCCCAGGAGGAGTGATGGAGCTCTAGGATGACACGGCCCCCCACCTGGCAGACTCTTTCACGATGTCCCACAACCTGACCACTGATTTACATCCTTCTCCGTGGCATGCTTGCTGCACCTAAAATATTAATAGGGTCTTGGTATCTGTCATTCCTAATTTCAGAGAGTAATAAGGACACGCTGAGCCATCGTGCTGATGGATTTGCAGAATATGTTCAGCGTAGCTCTCATTACTCAGCTAAGTTACTGTATTTTTCAGGCGCTTTTTCTCCACTAATCATTTTTGACATTTCACAATTTGTCACCTGCAACTCTGCACACTTGTTGCTTAGATGTCTACTTATTATGTATTTCACAATGTCTTTATCGCAACTCTTTATTAAATAATTATTGTGCCCCAACACATAAGGACAAAATCTTGACAAACATCTGGGGAACTTTGCTAAGATATGAGTAGATTACTAAACCTGGAACAAGAATGGTATGTTCTTATTTTGAAATGAGAAAACTGAAGCAAAAGTTAAATAACTTCCTAAGAACCACGAAAATCTAATATTATCTAATTCTAGAAGCTTGAAGTGTACTAAGTTTAGATTTGAAACATGCATTTAACAAAGGCAAACAGGTATTTATCTTGGTTAGAGTATATGATTCAAATATAATTGAAAAGGTAACTAATAAGTATTTTTTTATTGTTACCTAAAAAGCAAATTCTCTCTTAAGATAATGATTCTTATCCTTCTTAATAGGTGAATGTCATCATAACCACATGTTTCCCCAGTCTTTTTACACTCCTCAGTCTAGTCCCACTATCATTTCTAAGAGATCAATATTTAATCTGCCCCAAATGGGATGGTAGAGGGCAAAATGTGGTATAAGCCACAGCGCTAAGTTAAAAGGCTTTATGCTTCATATCCAATTACATATAGCACAGTCTGCCTCTAAATACGCAGGATGATCAGTGATCGTACTATACTGCAGATGATTGTGTTACTGCATTGTGTTACATGCTGTAGTAGCCTCGCCCCCCAGGAACAGGGCTCTGATGAGTGGATAAAAAAGTTGTGGAGCATTTACACAATGAAATACTATGCAGCTGTAAAAAGGGGATCCCTTACTCTTTGGGACAGCATGAATGGACCTGGAAAATATTACGCTAAGTGAAATAAGCCAATCTGAGAAAGACAAATATCACATGATCTCACTTATTTGTGGAATCTAATGAACAAAATGAATTGACCAACAAAATAAGGCCTGAAGCATGGAGGCATGAAACAGACTGACATACCTCGATGTGGGGTTGGGAGGATGAGAAGCGATAAACCGAAGAACTTATACGCACAGCCCTTGGACACAGGCAATAGGGTAGTGAAAACCTGGGGGTGGAGGGGGTAAGAGGCTGGAAGGAGAAGGGGACGGGTGAAAATGGGAGATATCTGTAATACTATCAACATTTTTTTTAAAAGGGTGAGGAATGCAGGTGGAACCAGAAAAGAATTTGGTTGCACTGACCCCATCACTGTTTGTGAAATACCTCTTACTGTGGCTTCAAGCAGAAGCAGAAATGCTCTCCATTTAGAGGCTGAAATAGCCTCGATTGTGCTTTATCTAAGGCTGCCTCTATCACAAATCAGATAGAGACACCTTTTTTAAATGTGACAAGTGAAAATAACAACAGGCTGCTTTGTTTCTCCTCCTGGGTCACACCTGAAATGCAAAACAACCCAACCAATCAACCAAACAAAAAAACTGTTGGGGGAGGTGTTTTCAGTGTTCAATATTGTGCAGTTCACGTTCAAATGGATAATCCAGTTCTCTTCTCCTGACCTTGAAGAAGTTGCTTTTCAATCGTAAAATGTAGATCTCAGCCCACCTCCCCAAAGCACTCAATGACTCATTCTATGATAGAGAACGTTGCATAAGACAGGATGCTCGGGAAACAGTGTTGTAATTAACCCCAGAGTCTCCACCAACTCCTTCTTACTTTCCACTCCTGCCACTCGAAATCTTCTGAAAATTAGTTCTCGTTCCATCCTTGGTATTCAGAATATACATAACTACTTCTTGGGTGAATAAAGCTCCCTCGGGGGGTTAAGCTAATCCATCATTCTGATCAGTGATCAGTCCATGTTACTGCAAGGGTAGACAGTATAACAGAAAGTACAAGAGAATGTTGACAACACAAACATCTTGAGAGTTACTTTCCATTTTCCACTGAATTCCTGACACAAGCACTTTCTCTTGGGATCTCTTTTCGGAAAAGCCTAAAGCGGGTGTGGCAGCAGGGGTGATGCAGGTGTGGGAGTGTGTGAGAAGGAAGACGATGGCTCTGAAGGTTCCAACTGATTGACGTTTGCTCCATCATGGACTGAACTGCTCCATAATCTTTTGTATTTTTAAAATATACTCTGCATGTCAACCGTTTGGGCCAGAGAGCAGTTTTCTTTGTCTCAGCCACAATGATACAATTACTTGCTCACGTGGCCACAATAACACCGTTGGGCAATGCTGTGGGCTGCATTGTGTCTTCCCCAATTCCTATGATGAAGCCGTAACCCCCAATGGGATGGTGTTTGGAGATGGGGCTTCTGGCAGTGAATAGGTTTAGGTGAAGTCATGCTGGTGGGGCCTCATGGGATTCGTTTAATTATAAGAGGAGACACCAGAGAGTTTCTCCTTCTCTGTCTCCAAAGAGGTCACGTGACCCCGCATTGAAGTGGCCACTGTCTGGAAGCCAGGAAGAGAGCCCTCCCCAGAGCCCTGCCATGCTGCACCCCGGCCTCACACTTTCAGCCTCCAGAATGATGAGAAATAACGCCTGCTGTCTAAGCCAGCCAGACTACGGTATTCTGTACCACAGGCTGAGCTCACTAAACCTGGTGGAGGGACAGAGTCCTTCGGAAAGAGTCATTTCCATAAACATAGAGTTGTTCTACATGCAATGGACGGTTATTCCATTTGCTTCATACTCACAGTTATGAAAGTTTCATTGAAGAAGACACCCCTTGGCCAGTGTCCAGGGCTGCCCCCCTTAGTTCAGCAAACAGAAGCAGAAGCTCTGAGGAACAAGGGTGAACACCAGCCTCTCAGAAGATGGAGCCGTGAATTCCATTATCTACAGAACGTCCTGCTCCAAAGGCGGCAGACAGAAGCCCAGGCTCTTCCTGGTCCCTGCGTGAAGGGGCCAGGGCCCTGCCACTGGGGAGACCAATGCTGGGGCAGACCTGAGCCTGCACCTTACTCCCCAGGTCTCTATCCAGCAAACAGGAGTTAACTGGGGAGGTCACTGGCCTCCAACACAGAGGAACTTCAAAGGGAAAGAAACTGCTAATTCCACTAGACTAGACTAACCAGGTTTGTTCAGCTCTGACTTTTGCAAACCTGCAGCTTTCCACGGGACACCAGATGGTTCTGTGACATTAGGGCTCAGGCAAGGCCAGTGCAGGCAGCGAGGTCTGAGAGACAAATCAGTTTCTAATAAACTGTTTTCTCCTGCTTTAAAAAAAAAAGGAAAAAGAAGAAAATGTCAACACCATGCAGGCAAGTACAGAGATGAAAATGAGAGCTCTATCCATCGCTACCAGCTTTCTTTTGTTAAATAAAATTGATTTGGATCAATCCGAGGGAACTGCTGGGCGATGCAAGGTTTTACTTTGAGATGCGTCCTTTCTGTTTGTTCGGAGACCTGGGCTCAGCAGGGACACTGCCAGTGTTTTTCCAGCGGCACAATGCAGCTCAACAAGAGTTAAAATAAGAAACCCTACCTGTTTAATCTGCCGGAAAACACGAGAGGAGCAATCAGCTCTGGGAAGAGGCGCTCTGAATGAGGCACGCCTGGCTGCTTTAGGCCATGCTGCTTGTCAGTCTTTCAAAATTCAAGTCATTACCAGATGCTGATCTACTATAATATTGTGATATTTTATCTGATTACACTTACCTGATTGTGCCTTATCTGCTATTCGCCTTCCCATTCTTCCATGTATATTAAATGCAGGTGCTTTTATTATTCTGAGAGCTAGAAAGTGTTGACTGCTCTGAATATAAATGGGGATATTATATCATTAACTTGCTCGGAAAGCAGGGCCATTCACTGTGTAAATCACATGGAAGGTACCTGCTGGAGACACAATAAACCATAATGTCTTGAGAAAGAAAGCAATGAGGAACGAGTAAGGAGATAAACATTTAAGGCATTGTTCAAGAAGGGTAATCTTCACAATCCTATTTGGTTCTTTCAAACTAACATTTGTTGATAATATAACCTTTATATTAGAAACTTTTTTAAGTTCATAAAAAAATAACTTTTTGGCGGGGGGGGAGGCATCATAACATGGAATGTTATCACCAATAGAATTACATAGAAACACGACCACTAGCATTTGATGGCTTGTCTAAGTTAGAAAAACGTTTTGAAAGCACAGGCCTGATCTCTTAGAGCAGTACGCTTTGCTTTGGCAAATATATTCTTACCCTGTTTGGGTGTACGGCTTACACAAAATGAACAAATGGCCAAATGCTTTAAGCATTTCCAGACGTTAAAAGGTGAACAGTTTAGAAAAGTGAATAGTTTGGTTGCAAATTACAAAGGAAGTAAGTAATATGCAGTGAATTAAGGCAGAACCGTGACAATGCGAGGCTGCCCAGCAGTCCGGGGTTATACATTCTTCTTAGTGTCCACTATGTTGGCCCCACGAAAAGTTAACCCACAGTTATTTAAGTGGAAAGCTTCAGAAAAGCCATTTTCGGAGCAAATGTTACATGAGAGTTTACGTGAGCCACTGCCCAGTGTGAGCTAGACCATCAGATGGCCTGTTCATTAATCTGGGTGCCAGATGCCTCTGCCCATGAGGAGCTGGGAGCCAGGCCGTGCAAAGGAACACAAGCTATACTCTTTCCCCGAAGCAGTGTGGCCAGCCACCCTCTGACTATCATGTCCGATGTGTGAGACAGGAGAGAACAAGTGGAAGTGTGGCGGGCAATTAGACAGATATGAGCAGAGCCAGGACAATGGGCCAGGGCCAGGAGGTCACCAGGCAGAAAGCCCTGGGTGCTCAGCAGCTGGCAAAACTGGGAAAACCAAGTCCTTGCCCCCAGGGTAACCTTTCCTCCACTAGCATATCACTGGTCCGGGGGTTTGGACTCCCCACCGCCCACCCCCACCCCCGAACCTTTCCTCTCCTGGCATGTCACTAGTTGTGCCGTAAACCCCCTTGGAGGAGGAACAAGGAGCCAAAGAATGGTCTCAAGTGACTCCCCTGGGCGCCCTTTCAGGCCCACTCCCTTGAGCCTTAACCCCTGGGGATAACATCTAGTCCTCAGGAGTGTTCCAGTTCCAGGCCCAGTAACGTAGCGAAAGCAGACAAGCGATGTCCTGGCTGACCGCAGGGCCAGGTGCATTGACGAGTGCAGCCCTGCCCAGGCACCACCGTTCAGTAGAGACCAAGACCCTGAAAGAACAGGCCTGGAGCGCTGATGAATATTCTATTGAGATCCTTCCCTGAGACCTCCCCTAAAATCCCTGCCCTGGAAAGCCCTAAGGAAGGAGGACTGGGTGTGCTCTACCTCTGGGGAGCACGCCCACACCTTACCTTTACCCCCCTCTCTCTCTCTTCAGATCCAGGGGCCTCTTCTTTTGTCTGTATAACTTGTTTCCTGAACACATTTCTTCTATGGTTCACACCTTCTACCTCTGTGACTTTCTAAATAAACTCTTGCTTATAGTCTGAGTCTTGACTCTGAATTCTTTCTTAGCCAGGACTCAAGTACCAAGATTTGAACCGAGGTCCGGTCAGACTCTACCGACCCAACACCTGGTGCCATTTTCACCGCCACCAATATAAGGACAACTTGGGAACATGAGAAGTAAAGTTCTTTCTCCTGAGCAATCAAGGAGGATGTAGTTTCTATCCTCACTTTCCTCTCAAATTCCATGTGCGGGCACACTGAAGCTGGAGGTGTGGGTGCTACTCCTCTCTCCCTGCTGTTCACCGCTACAAACAAATGCATAGAAAGGTCAATTTTCCTTTAACTGAACAATGCATGTTTAAACCACCTCTGTAAGTCAAGGTTGCCCTTGAATCAATGAATCCTTTATTATTCTTAAACCGTATGCTAGAAAACAAAACATGAACATGGAAGAGGGTTTGGTCTTTCAGTAATTCTGTATTTACACACACTTTCTCAGGAAAGATCTAATAGGTTTCTCTCAACCTGATTAACTTCACTTATTTGTTCATATATAAAAGTATACTTTAACTGGGCATTTTACATTGCTTAGAAGGTCTATTCTTGAAACATGGTTAAAATTAGTGAAAAAGCAAAATAAATATCCCAAATATAAAAGGTGAAACTACAAGGCTTTCAAAAGAGAGTATAGGAGAATATGTTCATGACTTACAGGTAGCCAAGATTTGTTAGGTCAAAGAAAGCAATAACCATAAAAGAAAATAATTAGGTTTCATCAAAATTAAAAACATTTACTCATCAAAGCACACCATTAAAAAAAATGGATAGCCAACCATAGATCTGGAGGAAACATTGGCAAAACACGTATCTGATAAAGGACTATTATCCAGGATATACAAAGAACTGTGACAATTCAACAACAGAAAGACAAACAACCCAATTTAAGATGGGCAAAAGATTTGAAGAGTACTTATATTTACACAAATGGCCAATAAGCACATGAAAAAGTGCTCAATGTCATTGTCATCCGGAAATGCAAATTTAAATCACAAGGGGACACCACTGCACACTAACCAGAACGTCCACAGCTAAAGAGACTAACACCGCCAATCGGAGGATGAGGCGGGGCAGCCTGGTTCCCGGCAGGAGAAAATGACACAACCACGCCAGGAAAAGTCAGGAGTTTCTTTTAAAATGAAAGACACACCTACCCTATGACCAGCAGCTCCACGCATAGGCATTGTACCAATGAAAGTGAAAATGCGTCCACAAAAGAAAGATTTGTGATATTCCTAGCTGCTTTATTCATACAGCCCAAAACAAGAGAGTCCCAGAGACCATCCAGAGAACAGGCCAATAAATGCTGGTAAGCAGCGCAACTAGTAATACCAAAGAACAAATTGCTGATACAGGAGAGAACGTAGATAAATCTCCCAAATATTACTCAGAGCAAAGGAAGTCTTTTTTAAAACATTGATTAACTAATTAATTATATTTTTTTTATTAAGGAAGTCTTACACGAGAGAGTGTATATTGTATGACTTCATTTACATGATGCTAGAATATGCAAAGTTAATCTACAGTGGAAAAAATTCAGAACAGGGGTTGCCCCTGGGGCTTGGGGAAGGGATTCACTGAGAAGGGAAATGATAGAACTTTCTGTATTCCATATCTTGATAGGTTACATGTGTCTAGGTGTTTGTCGAAACTCAGTCAATGCATTCTTAACAAAAATCCTTTAAAAAAATACACCTGTTTGTCCAAATGTTAAAGGCAATGAGGCACACATGTATACAAAGATTATTAAAAATGTGACTTTATTTTAGTCACAGGCCTTTTCTTTTTCTTTTTTTTTCTTAAGACTTTTTATTGATTTTTAGAGAGGGAGGAGGGGAGAACAAGAGAGAGAAACATTGATATGAAAGCAAAACATTGATGGGCTGCCTCCTGCAGGCTCCTGACCAGGGATCCAACCTGCATTCCAGGCATGTGCCGTGATAGGGAATCCAACGGGCGACTTTTTGATGCACAGATGATGCCCAGCCAACTGAGCCACACCAGCCAGGACATGACATAATTTTTTAGACTCTGTTTTCAAACATCTAACCATCCTGGCCAGTCTATACCTGCCAAAAACCTGCGATGATAACTGCTGGCACCTCAGAGACCATTTCCAGGCATCTCCTGCCACCCCATTCCTCGTCTCAGAGATGGACAGAGGCTTGCTTGGATTCATGTTCACTCGCCTTTAGATCATCTCATTCATGTACAGAGTTAGGGAATGATGCTGACTCCAAACAAGGAGACGGGTTATTAGGCAACATACCTATCAATCAGCTGCAAGTTTACAGCCCCATGGTAGATGCCAGAGAAGCATGGCAAGGGCAGGAAATGTCTTTGGCTACCAAGGTTATGCTTTCAGACAAGTTGAATGTGTGAACTAAACAAATAAACTGATATTTATATATACATGTATATATGTATATATATGTATATAAATATAAATAATATAAATATCAATAACAAAAGCACTGCATAATCCAGCCTCATAAATCTGTCAAAAATAAAACTAGGCCACTCCAACATATTACTGGCAGGTTTTCCCAGATCACTGATGAAATCTATGCTTTCTCAGCCCACGACATCAAGGTCAAATTCAACTCATGAGACAGCCAAGGCACATCTCCATGAGAACAAGCTGAAGAGCAGAGTTTGCAGAAGCGGGAGAGGAGTGTCTCCCCTGACATTAACATGTCCCTGCACACACCAGTCCTCCGTTGCTCTCACCAGTTAGTCTGCAGGCTTTTCTCCATCACTAGGGACTCACTGAAATCCAGGGGTCTGGGTAAGCAAACACACCGATCCTTTTTAAAAGTCCAAAGAGGTTGAGTAGCTATTTGCTTATAGACTAACTCATCCATCTAGAGATTGATCTCTGTCAAATTCCCGCGATTCTGTTACTCTGTTATTTATGAGGACTGTGGCACCATGTTTCAGAGATTCCCAACCAGTCAGCACTGATGGGTAGGCATTTTTGTTCTCACTCAGTGGCAAGACACATATGTAATAAATCCTTAGGAACTTTATCTCCTTCAGTTAGACTCAAAATAACTGCTGACTCAATGATTTGCCACAAAATCTGTCCCTGGATAAAAGGGAGGACCACACTCTACAGAAAAGAACTATTTCAATAGTTCAGCATTTCCAAGAACAGAGCAAAATAAGAAACTATGTTCCATGGCTGAGAAATTGTGTCTAAATATTATTATACCATTTTAAATCGGTTCCAAATGGAAAAATAGCAACAGATTAATTGCCCACATAACCATTGGATAAAAAATTTTTTAAAACAAACTCTCTTTTACTTTCATAGTTGCAGATAGGAGTTATTAACCATCTGCCTTTCTATTAAGCATTATACAAATAAAAATT